TTTCTTCAACTGGTGACCACACAAAAACTTGTATACAAAAACCCATGGCAACTTCATATGGAAGATTTTCACCTACCCATAAATGGGTAAACAAATTTGATATGAGCTATGTAACGAATTCATTTTCAACAATGAAAAGGAATGAACGATGACTGAAACAGAGTACAACACGGATGAGTATCAAGATGATGCTGAGTGAAGGCAGTGAATACATCCTGTATGATCCCATTTAGATAACATTCTAGTAAATTAAGACAGAAAAACAAAACAGCTCGGTGACTGGGGAAGGTTGGAGGGACAGTCTGGCAGGGGCTGGTAAGTACAAAACAACACGAGTAAACTTAAGGCAGATGGATGTGTTCGTGATGTACTGTAGTGACGGCTTTCAGGACAGATAGTGTCAGCATTCATGGAGTGGCCTATTTAAAACCTCTGCAATTTAGGGCCTCCTCCCCCCACCCCAGTGACTCAGTGGGTTAAGGCATAGCACTCCAAGTGAGCCACAGCTGCTGCAGTGAAAGTTCGATCCTTGGCCCTGGAGGGTGACCCACAAGGCACAGCAGACCTCTGTCTCACCCGCTGCAGTGAACTTCATTGTCAATCTGTCTGTTCTGCTTCTCTACCTCTGGTGACTCCTCTCACCGAACCCCCCGAACCTCTGTCCTGTACCCCAGTTCTGTATGCATAAATAAATGTTAAAAAAAAAAACTGCAGTTTATTCACTACCAATTATAGCTCAATAAACGGTTTAAGAAAAGACTGGAAAGGGAAAAAGTATAGACGGAATACAGGTAAGTGTTTTGAGTTACACTGTAGTGGGAAAAAAGAAATGGAACTAGGGCTAGACAGGGATAGGGGGGCAACACCTTCTCTTTGTAAGATGGAAGACAATACTGCAGGTAGGAATAACCAGTAGGGAGGGGACTTGATAAGGTGACAGAGAGGCCCAGAGGTGGGATCCAGGTGTCCTTGGGCCAGCACAGCAGGTAGCTGGAGAGCTTGTGCACGAGGCTGGGGAAGGACTCTGTATCTTTTTTTCTGGTAAAGAAATGAAGAAGGTGAAGAGGTGTTGGAGGGTTAAGAGGAAAACTGTGAAGGTTGTCTGGGAGAGCCGGGGAGAGCAGAGGTAGGTTGCAGCACCCAAGGATGACTACAGGCCGGGCCATGACTTTCTCGGGAGATTCATCCCTGTGGTTGGATGTTTTTCTTCCTTCACGCGCTGCTGCTAAGGTGCTGCTGCCTGCCTGAGGAAGAGGCAGACATAGGCCCTCCCGACATCTCATTGGCCTGCATCAAGACCCGGTTATTCTGCTCCTCTCCCCTTAGTGCTTTTCCATACCACTTATTGCCATGGCGGGGACTGCCAATGCTGGCTGTATCTTTGCAGTATGTCTAGAACTCTGAACAGCTGATACTGTAGGTGTCGGAGGGACAAAGTCTGTGAGACCTCTCTTCACCTCCTACAGTCTGCACCTATTTATAGCTACATCTCTCTGCCAGTTTCTCCTCCCCCTCCTCACCTCCCCGTGTCATGAGCAGTTATACAGATGACATCTACGGGCACTTGACTCTCTCTGGCACTGGGTTGGGGCCAGTGGGGCCCACTAGGAAGAGAATGAAGTGGCAAAATTTCTTCTCCTGGCTGGTTCCTCATGGTCCCCTCAAGCTGGCTGCCTGTGTCAAATGAAGGTCGGAGATGTTTTGCCTCCCTTCCCTTATCCCTTCTGGGTGAGAAGTAGTAACGAGTCCATTACCAAACTCAGGCGAACCACCCCTGATGGTTTCCTTACACCCAAACCTGGACAATGCGGCTATCCCTCTCATTAAGCCCCCCTAGAATTATCCTCATTTGTGTGCACCATCTGTTTCCTGCCGGGATGCTGACAGATCCCTCTCTGTGAATAATGGTTTTAATAACTCTCTGAATTCCATTAGAGACTTGCTCCTCTAATGTGGCCAAGGGCCAGCACCTGGGAGCTCGTCAGAGATGCAGAATCTCAGGTCTTACCAAGACTGCTGAATCCCAAAGGGCATGTCAAAAACATAGTTGGTGAGACCCGGGCACACTGAATTCTATGAAGTCCTGCTTTTGACTGTTCTGAGTCTAACTGAAGTTCTTTAGGATACTAAAAACCCAAAGAGAGAGGTCTGGGCGAGGTGTTCTCACAGCTCAGGATGTGAGCAAAAACTGAAGAGGAGCATCTATGGGGAGAGGAAGTCTCCCGGAGAGGAAGTAGAGGGTCAGGGAGTTCAACAGCTGGAGCCTGCGTCTTGGCCACCTCAAACTGGCCACGCTCTGCGAATGTGCTTCACATTCCATGAGTGACCCTTCGCCTCTGCCTAGAGCTCCTGCTCCCTGTCTGGCTCCTGATCTCAGTTTGTCGACGACCTACATTTCGGTTTCCCAGCATTTTATTTACCCAAATGGTCCCCATTCTGCCCAAACATGCTGCCCTGGGCTGTCTGCTCAGCAGGGGCTGGGAAGGAAAATCAAACTGTGATTAGCCGCCTGGTTAACATGATGTGAGAAGACAGGAAACAGTTTTCAAACCTCGGGGACAAGCTCTCTTTCTTTTACCTACACCAGCACTTTCCCGGCCGCTTCCTCCCCACACTTGCCAGGAACATCTGCAGCCTCTGGCAGACTCTGCCAGTCATGGAGATGACATCCCATGCTCAGGGTATTTCCAATGTTGTGTTACAAAATTAATTACATTTAATTTAACGTATCCATTTTTTATAGCCCAAACAAATCTGAAATGCCATGTTACTCTTACGAGGTGGCAGCCTTCCAGCAGATCCTGCTGCTGTGTGAATCTGCTCCCAGAGACCTACACAGTTTTAGGGATCACTTTAAGCCAGTGAGTCTGATGAATGGCTTCATGACCACGGTGAAGCATCATGAAGAATGAGGCTCTGGGTCCCAGGCCAGCAACGCTTATGTCTCACCTCTTATCTGCTCTCATGCAATAGCCTCTTCACTCAAGACGAGCCTTCCTCTTCCCACCTCTTTTCAAATTAACAGTTTGCTTCTCTTTTCCCAAAAACAGGGGTTAGCAGGGAGGGAATTATTTGAATTTTTCACAAGTACCGAGCCTGGCATATGCAGCTGCTGAATTTATTAACATTTATTGAATGAATGAACATTCTTGCTCATTGGTTATGAGTTTCTCTTTCTCTCTCTCTCTCATGAAGTCATCAGGAGACGACAGAGGTGGGGAGCTGCAGAAATGGCTGCCACAGGCCCCAGATCCCAGCTTCCTTCAATTCCTGTGAGTAAAGCATTTCTCATCTTCTGTGTGCCACTCTGAGGAAAGAGGGTCTCCCTGTCCCTTCTGAAGAATTAGACCCATCGTTAGGACCATCTCTGTGTCTGCGGCTACTTTCACTGGCCAGGCCTGATGTGAGAGATGAAAGATCTAGGAATACGGCCCGACATGCATGGCAGACTACAATGGCAGCCAAACCAGTAACCAGTTTGGCCCATTAAATATAATTGTTACTTGAGTTTTCTATCAATGTTACTGATGTATTAACTGATTTTCAAAATACAACAAATGAAAATCGTCAACAATATGTACATTTTGTCAAGATCCACTCAATTCCAGAGACACAATACCATTCAAACTAGTGTATGATCTGAAAGCTCATTCAATGTTTATATTTACAGGGTAATTCAATTGATCTAATTCCTTTCTTTGGTTAGAAACAAAATCTGAAGCGGCCTAAGAACATTCAATGCCAACTCTTCTATTTACAGACTCCCGTTATCTTTCTGGTCTTTCAATACAAGGCCCAGAGACCCTGTACCAGAAACTTCCAAAATCTTCCCAGGTCATTACGCTCTGAGTTCCTTCCTTATTTTTCTCAATCAGGGGCATTCTTCCCTTTACAGCCATTTCTTCCAGTTCTCAGTTCCTTCACTTTATGTCCTTTCTACCAAAGGCGATAGTGACATATGGATAGTATGATGGACCTTTAAAAAATGTCTTGGTTTATTAGTCCATTCATTAATTCCTTAAGTACTTTCTGGGAACCTATCACACAGCACAATTGCCATGTCTGGCTCTGGGGATGTTCAAGATGAAAAAACACAGTCTTGCTCCCAAGAAACAAGTCATATGTAAAAAAGGCTCATAAACAAGTGTTACCACTGCACGGTAAGCACTGTAACAGGAACCATGCAGATCAGCTATGAGACAACTCTAGAGAATTCCAGAGAAACGTGACTGGAAGCACAGTGACAGATCAGAGCAGTGGTCAGAGCAGGTGATGAGGGGAATCTGAGCTCCAAGACAACAGAAGAAACAATGACTGAGGGAATCATTGCAAATGAGAACTCCAGGAACAGTGAGCCAACGGAGGGAGAGAGATGTGCGGGCCACCTCCTTCTCGCTTTGATGACTGGTGGTGCTGGTGTCACTCATGAGACAATGAATACAAAAGAAGAAACTTTCCAAATAGGGGATTGGGGCTGAGGCAGAATTATCTGTGAGGGGTGAGCGACATACTCCCAATGGTTCATGAGGGATCTGTACCTCTACTGAAAATTATTTTTGCTTGTGCTTAGAGTGGGAAATGGGAAAGGGAGAGGTAGTGAGAGGGCAACAAATCCATGATAAAATCAGCTGTTTCACTCCGAGGTCCTCATTTCTTTCACTATCAAGAATCTGACATGTATTTGTACCCAAAAAGAGGTTTCTTTGTATTTGGCTCTTACTCAAGGCGCAGGTTCTGGGTGGGGATCTGAGGTGTCTGCTGAACAAAGCACTTGCAGATCTACAGTCAGCAAGGGCTCACCAAGACCTGGTCTTAGGTCAGGACTTCTGTAGGTTTTAGTCGAGGCTAGCAAAGCTGTTTAAGATAGATGTTTCCTTTAAGAAGGCTAACTTATCCAGAAAAATTCACTGCTTAGCAATTGGCCAACTATTTTAATGTTAAGAAACTTTCTTTGAGAGTGCTCTCATATCACTAGACACAGTGAAAGCATTAATATTTTATTTTATAGGAACCTTGTTTATTACAGATCATCTCAATTCAAAAATACTTTCTCAGGTCTGGTCCATCACCAGACTGTCTCTTCAGAGATGTTAAATACATTAAAAGTGTAAGCAATCTGGTCTAACAGTACCGAGAAATGTCTGCATGGTGAGCAAGACAGAATTTATAACTATGAAACAAGATCTTCAAAACCTGCCAGTAAAACAGAGGAAGAACGTCTGAAGATAAGATGTGGGAACTTGTGTGCGGAGCTAACAAAGCACATGGCAGAAAGCGAGCCCGGGAAACGTCCGGATCCACCCCACCCTGAGTCTCTCTGAGAGGCACGAGTGCCCTGTACTGGCTCAGAGAACCACCGCTTCCGGGTGCAGAGTGCGTTTAGGCTTAGTCTCCGGTTACCTAAGTGCCCCGACATCACTGTTTCTTCAGTTTCTGGTCCACACATAATCCCGAGCATAAGTTTTAAGAAGTGTAGGAAGTATTTAGCTTTGACTTCTGAGCAGATGCAACACCAGCTCTTCATCCTCGGCTAAAGACAGGCCTGTATCCAGAGGCTCTACGGTGCCCCACTTGGTCTTCTTTCTAGTACGACTTGTGTGTCCCACGTCTTCCATGTCACTGTTGTGCCTTTTTCTCATTCCCTGCTTCTTCTTGGTATCACTGGTGGGAACAAATCCAATGATTTATTTACAAATAATTAAACTGTTATGAAATCAATACTTAAAATAGGACAAAACTACCAACAACAATGGCTGGCAACATTTTTATTCAAGAAGGGAAGAAACTGCAACAAACAGGCTGCCTGGGAGTTAGCAAGCACCTTCCATTAATAGACGGAGGAGACAGGTATGCTGTGTGCTTGCTCCGTGTGCACACACCACCTCATCCCACCCACGTACCCATGCAGGGGCTACGGCCACAGTGCCCCCAACTCAGGGCATCGAGGAGCCCACAGGCCAGCTCCAGAGTGCTCTAACCTCTGCCTGTCCTGCCACTTCTAACCATCCCCTCAGTAAAACTGGCTCCTTAGTAAGTAGCAGCCCATGAACTAGTTGAAACCAGGAGGCCAGGGACAGAACCCACTATCTGTTGCACTGGGTTGTGACACAGATTATGAGTAAAATAGATGCTGAAAAGTTCAATTGCTGCCCTCACTTAAAATCTGTATGCATGAAACATATAAAGTATCAGTAAAACAAACATCATCACAGGACTCTGCATGCACCTAAGGCACAGACCTTAGGTTTGTTTCTGAAGGTGGCTCTTCTGAAGAGAAAGCCAAACATCCACAAAGCCGTTAAAGACAGCATTTTGTTCAAAGGACCCAATGACTGCGTCAAGATGCAAGATTCAAAGGAAACCCACCCACAGCAATGCCACAGCAGCCACTTCTTCCTCAGGGTCTGGCAGTGTCCTCTGGCTTCACACCAGGCATGTCCGTTACTTTGGTGAAAACCCCTGGAGGGAGGATCACTAGCCTCATCTACCATCAGGTTGTGAGAAGTGAAATGACTGGACCCAGATCACACACACGGGATTCAAACCCAGACCAGGATGATTCAGCTACCAGTCAAGCCAGTGAAGCATTCTTCACTGACATGCTTCAGTCAACAACTGGATGACAGCAGCAAAAAGAGTCACTGTGGAAAGAGCACTGGATTCAACAATCAGACTTGGCTGAGGAACTTTTATCTCTAAGCTTCCGTTTCCTTCTCTGTAAAGATGGAACTTCTGTCATTTATTTAACAGAAAGAGCTCTATGAATGAAATTATACAAATTTAGTTTTCTGTCTATAAATGATCCCCTTTAAAATAAATTTTTACATCGACATATAAGCAAAATAAATAACATCACAGAAATACTACATTATATTCCAAATGCGGGCACCTCCCAGAGAAGAGCAAACTGCTCAAGTTCCCGCAGACCCTACTCCTGGTTAATAAGAGAAGCAGGTGTCACCAGGCTGTGCCTGAGCAGCACGTGCCTCAGGATGGCCTCAAGCAGCCTGACAATCTCTACTCACGCTCCAGGAATGCCAGTGCTTGGCACGGTGGCAATCTCTCCCAGCACTGAAGGAAAGACAAAGTAGACAATACTGCGACGTTATTCAGAGCCACAAATAACTGAATTTTAAGAGTGCCTGGAGAGATGAACATGAAAGTTCCAGAGGAAAAGGATCTTGAAAAAGTACTGAGTCCTAACCTGTTTATGAATATGGCTGGTCCTGGTCAATTCCACTGGGCCTAGAGTGCCATGATTTAATCTGTACAAGATAATAGTGATTTCTGTCCTGCCAATACTTCAAGAACATCTCAGAGTAGTTCATCAGAAACATCCTAATTAGTGGGCTTGACTAATGTGTCCTTTGTTAACATGTTCCCACATTATATTGCCTCCAGGAAATAACTTTTCAGATAACAAGAGAGATGAGAAATTTAGGGAGCCTCAATTTAGAATTGCCTCAATTAGCAGCCTGGCTCCAATTGTAGAAAGGTATCTTACTCTATCTTCCATAGCAAATAGTGTAGTTCTTATAACATACTATTAAAAAATAGTATATAGTCTATAGATAGATCACACAAAATAGGACTAACATAATGAATTTATAACACAATTAGTAAGTAGCAAATAAAATTTGATCTCTTCAGAAAAGGCCTCATCCAAGCAGGTGGCACTAGACAGCAACATCTGCAACCTGGCAGAATGAGATGTCCTTCCCAGAGACACATGGCTTCCATCCCATGGCCAACAGTGCCTTTGTAGGGGCATGTGGGAACACCATAAGCCAGATGACCAGGGAAGAGTCTCTTCCAACCAGGCACTGGGTAATGTAATTGGCACACAGACCCAGTTCTAGAGCCTTTAGCTGTGGGAGAAGAATGTCTTACCCACAAACAAAAAGAGCAATTCCAGTAATCCAGATTTCCAGTGGTGAAGCTCCAGCGTGTCGATGGTGCAGAAAAAAGCCAGTGCAAAATAAAGCATGGCAAAAGTCATACAACCACTTTTGACTTTGCTATCATCTGCCTTCTCCCAAGGTGGCATAACTCGGGACCAAGAAAAAGATCAGAGTTTGTGAGGCAGTGTGCAACTTCCCCAGCTATGTGTAACAAGACCTGTCCCTTTCATCCCACTCATAGCTAAGTTGTGAACTGACTGACTAAAAGGTAGGAAGAGACTGGGACAGTGGTTGGTAGGGCTTTCAGAGAGTGTTAAGAGGAGTGAGTCTATTAACTGCATCATGGATCCCATCAAGAAGCTTCCCTATAAGCCACTGGGGATGCCTCACATGGCTATCTCCAGACAGTCAAGGGGGTCCCCAGGGCCGACTGTGGTCAGCTTTCTTTATTTGTTCTGGACAGCAGTGGTGAAAATATGTTTTTAGTAGATGGCTAGAGCACAACCTGAATCTGTGGCTCAGTAAGGACCCAAAACTTCATCTATTGTGCCACCCTTGGGAAAGCAAAGGGAGGTGGCCAGCATTTGGCCTATGTGTAAAGACTGTAGAAGGCATATATACTTTCTGCCTTAAGAGGAAGCGAGACGCACGGAAAAGATGTATCCATAAATCTGGGAAAGCCTCTGAATGTCTAATAGGGCTGACAGGAGGCATTTCTCTCCCAGATGACAAAAGCTGGAGGAAGTGGCCGCTACTACAAATTTGCTGACAGTAACACAAAACTTCAAGGAAGATGAAGATATCAAGGAAACAGGAGGCCACCAAAGGATCACAATAATCTTCTAGTAGTCACCTCCAAAGACATGAAGATATTCAATTTAACATACTAAGAATCCAAAATAATTATCTTACAGCTCAATAAGGTACAAGAAAATAAAAAAGTCAGCAAAATCAGGAAAGCATATGCAAGCATAATAAGAAAAATTAAAAAATAAATCTGAAGATAATACAATGAATGAAACATGTGAAAAAGGATAAGAACAAAATGGAACTTCCTGAAGAAAGAATCCATAAATTAGAAAACAGGAATTCTGAATTTATCCACTAAGAGAACAAAGGAAAAAGAATGAAAAAGGATGAAGAAAGTCTACATCAACTATGACAGATATGAGAAAGAAATAACTTCCAAATTACTGGATTCCCAGAAGAGAGGAAGGAGGCATTAAGCTTATTTATAGAAATCATATCTGAGACCTTCCCAAATCTGGCAACAGATTTATATATCCAAGTTCATGGAGTTGTTAGGTCTCCACAAACACAGCTCTGTCAAAAAATCAAAGACAAAAAAAGAATCTTAAAAGCAGCAAGAAAGGAATCTTGTAACCTACCAGGGAAATCTCATAAACAAACAGTGGATTTCTCAGTAGAAATTTTACAGGCAAAGAATGAATGGAATGATATACTCCAACAGTTGGGGTGGTGGTGGTGGTGGTGTATGTGTGTGGACTTTGTCAACCAAGAATACTCTACAGAGCAAAGTTATCCTTCAGAAATGGAGAGATAAAGGCTATTCCAGACAGACAAAAGCTGAATCGATCACTATCACACTAGCATTTTAAAGAATCCTAGAAGGAATTCAAGTTGAAATGAAAGGATGTGAATTAGTACATGAAAATAACAGATACAGTGGTACAGATAAGTACATAGTTGAATTCAGAATAAGCTCACCCAATAACATGGTGGAGCATTCACCACTTAACACTAATATAAAGGTTAAGGGCAAGAGTGTTAATCGTTCTTATTCCATCTAGGTAATGTTCACAGGGAGCTTACTAGATCCAATTAAGAACTAGAAGTGTAGTAATTCAGAGCTGCCAATCTTTCAATAATCCAAATAATAGAGATTTTTAATAAAGAGATGTTTTAAAGAACAAGTCATACTACAAAACACAAAGGAAAACTATCAGATTGTAGTCTATAATCTGGACCAACAATAATAGGACAATTCTACTCGGTGACTTAGGTTTTGGTGAAAATGGCTCCATAAAAACTATCAAATATTTGAGCCAACTTACTCATTGCTAATAATTAAAGAAAAAAAGGATGTAACATTGGAAGGTGAATTAAAATTTTATATGTTAATATTAATCACTGAGATTTTTAAGTGGAATGTGATTTTCCTATTTTATCAATATTCTGACCCCACACTTCAAATTCTTCAAAATCAGGCTGCTTTTTTCTGCTTTCCTGCTTTCAACATTTGAATTTCTTCAGGCGCTTGCAATTACCTAGCCACCCAGACTTAGAGGGTTAGTGTTAGTTTAGCAGGGGGACACCTGGCACTCACTCACACTTGAGGGGCAGCCTGTCTCCTGGCACTCCGCACACGTGGCCCCCGCTCACAAGATCACACACATGGCTGCTCCCACCAGCCTCTCTGTGAATATGGTCCTTCCCTGGCCTCAGGACCCACTTTCAACTCCTCCTCTTCCCTCAAGTCCCTACAACTCTAATTGTTTATTAGTGATTTGCACCTAGCATGGTTATTTTCTAATAATGATTGCCCCCTCCCCCTTATGTTAACTCACCATTAGAATGTGAAGTCCTGGGTATGGGAAGGCAAATTACTATAATCACTGAGCATGATTTGAAAGTACCTTTCAAAAATCTTTCAAGTATGCATGCCCAGCAAATTCTCTTCTGGGAATTTAGCCCAAGGAAATTAGGCATGTGTATAAAAATTTCATTTCAAGGATATTC